TTTGTTTTTTCCCCCCCACAGTTAAGAGATAGTATGGAGGTACATTTTGTCGCTTTTGGCTCTGGTCCCAAAGAGGAAGTACCGACTTGCAGTCTGTTCCTACTTCATGTGTCCTGGACTTTCTGGACGTATTATAAGCTTGTCCTCTCACTGCTGAGCCCTCTCTTTTTTTTTTTTTTTTTTTTTTTTTGTCCATCGCCCCGTTGCCCAGGGTCATGACAGAGAGCGAGAGACTTGAGTATGAGCAAACGTTTGAAGGGAGGATTCAACCGTGTGATGCCCCCCCCCTCTCAGCACAAGGCAATCAGGGAAGTGGGACTGCCCCAGAACCTCAACCCCTTTGACCATTGAATACCCATTTTCCCCTAAGCTCCCTACAAGAAAGAGAACTTATACCAAAATGTACAAAGATGTGTTTAGAATATATATATATGAAACACAAAACAAGAAAAGGAAAGTTTTAAGATAATGTATTAAGATTTTTTTTTTTTTATCCCAAGATGTATTTATTTTCTCTCTTTTCATTTTTTTAAAAGTGTTTCCCACATTGCTTGCATGCTTTTGGCCATGGTGTTACCTTTTTGGCTGTTTACTCTGCTCCACTCACATGGTTAGTGTGAGTGCTTGCTAGCATACGAGCACCCTAGCATATATTGATAAATGGCAGCACTATATTCAGACTGATCGAGGCCAGAGTTGCACTGGTGATGGATAGAACCTGTTGTGTTAAAACTCTAAAAGATTGTTCAGGTCTAGAATTTCAGATAAATTCTAGGTGTGGTGTTAACTAGAATGAAGAGTCTCTAGGCTCTGATCTGGTCCTGTTGCATTTCTGTGCTGACCCCCCTCGTCCTCCCTGCCGTTACCGGGTATTTTTACTTTCTTCTGCTCCTTTTCCTTTTGCGTGTGATTCTCCTTCTTTTCCTTGTGAACATATATGGTTGTCACCCCCTCTTCTCTTCCAGTCAGCCCACTGGCTTTCGTGCTTATTTATCCCCCTCCTACACTCTATATGTCATGCCTCCTCATCTGCTTCTGGTTATCTCTCCCAGTTTCCCATCTCCTACAAGGAGTGGTCATGCTCTTTATGTTTCAGCTTCAGACAGTGATGCTGCTTCTCTGTGCTACTGTTGGCAATGCTGAATCTACTGCTTGAAACTCTAAATAATGTCATGAAGTTCAACATATACTGTAAAATGATCAAGTTGGAAGGTTATGCTTAACTTCAAGAAATAAATGGTGCCATGATGCGTTCAAAAAGGAAAAGTCTCCAAAGTGTTTTCTTTTCTCAATCTTCTGAGTATTTTATCAGTATTTCAGCTTGACATAGAGACACATCTTCCCGAAAGTTGAGTTGAATGTACCCTTTAATTAATTAAAACAGGGCTCAAAGTTTGGCCATTTTGAAAGATGATCTCTTTTTAGTTAGTAGCCAAACTCAATCTCCAATGTAAAGGATAATTTTGGCTGTATTGGAATCGGTGGGCATTTGGCAGTCCTAAAGGTCACAGTGATGAGTTGCTGACAATAAAAACCAAAAAGGAGTTTGAGAAAGGGGTTTTCTGTACCAGCAGGGGGCACACTTCCACCATCAAACACCACCTCAAACAGACCCACCCTAAAACCTGCAGTGAGATCAGAGTTTTAAGTAACCCAAGGTGCTCATTGGTTTCCCAGAAAGATTTGACACAAGCGTCTGACAAATAATTGGGTTAAGAAATGTATCCCATTGGCTTTTGTAACAAGATAAAGCTGTAGTTAAGAGGATCCCACGGGGGACTGTTAATCGTTTAACGTGGCTGTCTCTCTGTTCTCTGCTACCTGTTGGTGTGTTGTAACTGGTGGTGATCTTTGCATTTGAGCTCTGATTTCAAAGCAGGAAGAAACCTCCCCCCTATGAAGGACATGCTTCTCTGAGTTTCTCTCACAGTGCCCCCCCTATCTGAGGGCACGCTGCAGTGAAGCAGAGAGGCGAGGGAGTGTTAGCGGGGGGACAGTGAGAAGAAAGCCGAGGTGGAAATGGTAAGAAGAAAAGAAGAGAAAAACCAATAAATTAAGAGAAAACGGGAGGGAAGTGGTGAGGGGCAGGATGCGATAAAGACACCGGGACTGTGAAGTGATGACTGAGGGAGACGAGGAGAAATGGTAATTGATTGGCTCGTTTCCCCACATGCACCTGTCATCACACTAATTGGAGTGGCAAAGACAAAGAGGAGAGAGGTGTCAGTCACATCAGAGCGTTTCAGCAGGCAGCGCATGTCGAGCTCAGAGGAGAGCAGCTTTTCTCCTCGGCCGTGTCACAGAGGTGTGAGTCAGGGTAGGAGGGAAAAAAGGAAGTCTTTCAGAGGGGATGCAGGATGAGCCCTATGTAGAACAAAAACAGAAAAAGGAAAAAAGCACTTGTCTCTAATTTACACCCACGAGGCCTTTAGGGCTGTGTCATCCACTAACTAAATGTAGTATAAAAGCCGTGAATACTTGCTGCACAAAGCAGGGAAAACCTAGTCAAATTTCAAGTTGAGGATCAAAAGTATATGTTTTCTTGGATTTGCCTTTCTGTGATTAATAATGTGAAGCGCGTCCGTGTTGTCTTCACCAAGAGGCTTCATTCCGAGATAAGGATGCCACACTAAATGGCTTAACCTGTATCAGGAAACAAACAAGTGGTTCCCCTTTTAGAATGGCGGTCTTTTCATCCACATCTCCGTAAATAGGTTTGCAAATAATCCAGCTCCGAACACAAGTGTAGATAACCAAAAGTAAGCACCGATGTATGCAGATGTGTGCGCGTGTGTATGTTTTGTCCCCAAAGAGTTTCTCATCAATATGCTAATGCATCCAGCAGTGCATCTATTACCATACTGATGTTTCAGGTGTTTTATATTTGCACATCAGCTTGTCCGTCTGCACTCGGTTTAAATCCTGCGTCATTGTATGGAATCATTCCGTTTTGCTGCTGCATGACTGGTTGCATGACACATAGTGACGTATTCAGCCATACTGCCCACGTTAACACTTGAGTTCTTCACTCAGCAAATCATGAACGCGCCTCCCCATCTATTCAGCGTGCTTCGTTTTTCACATTTGATATGGAGCACTGTTCATCAACACTATGCGTGTGGAAGGATGCAGACGCACAGCACCCCGAGTTGCCGCGCTTCCAAACATATCATCCTGTATTCAGTCCCCAGCATGAGGGTTGTTTCAGGTCGGATTTTAGATCAGTCAACACAATGATTAGTTATTCTCCCTCATTACCTCTGGGATGATTTTCTCCCAGAGAGTCTGTGAGGTTGTTTTTGTATGCGATAAATCACTGTCTAGTTTCATGGTACTCATCACAGTTTATTATATTTCTAACTGTGGCTTAAATGACTCAAGGGGGAATAAACTGCATATAAAAAGTTAAGTTCAAGGTAAGCTTGTCAAGAAAAAAGGAGTGTGTATCTTCCCCCTCACGAGTGTAATTATTAATTTCCACTTCCTCAGTGTTTTTGTTTTTTCTTTTTTATATCTACATTGTCATCAACCCATCTACCCATTTTCTACACATTTTAAAGACGTGCAGCCTAAACCTAACCCAACAACCACCGGGCAAGAGGTCCTGTACTGTCAGATTACTGAGCAGATCACCACAGAGGAACCAATTCAGTTTCCTAAGAAAATGCGAATTTAGTACATTTGACCATAAGTCTGAAAGACAGCAGAGTCAAGATTCAGGTGACAACCTGCAACCATGATCTGAAAGTCCATGGACAGCTTTGGGTTGGAGAGGGTATATAGCTTTTTAGCAATATGAAGGATAGATTTATGCATATGACAGTTTGGGCGCCCAGAATTATATGTTAGAAAAATAATAGTCCTCTAAAGCACAATGTAAAGTGAATCACTTCAACAGGTTTTGTTCAACACATAAGCATTTGAATATAAAAAACAATTGCTTTTGAAAACGTCTTCACAAAGGTCTATGTAGCTGTGGTCTCAATTGAACATGTCTATTTTTTTTAAAAAGTCAGATTTCTTTTAAAACCAGCCCCTCAATTACAGCCCGTTTACCAAACAGGGACCCTGACCTCATGCGATTGATTTCCGGGCTGCACTTCTCCCTCTCCATCGGGGCTGAAGCCGATATCAGATGAATTGGACTACAGATCAATGCTCTCCCCACAGTCTATTTAACCCATCCTCTCTGGTAATCACTGTCCCATGCAGAACAAGGAGACATGTAAAAGATGTGGGAAGCCAACGCTGAAAGAGAGACCCCTTTAAAACGAGAGGAATATACTAAAATGCCAGCCAAACAACATGGCGGATCTCTGAACCCCATTCTTTTGCCGTTGCTGTGGGACGCTTCTTAATCAACCCATCCGATAATGAATAGGCACCTGTGGCTCGGCGTTAACCCTGTCTAATTATCCCACCGCGCTTTGATGGAGTATCTTGGTAAAAAAGCTTCTGGCAGGCTCGCTGGCATCGGGCTTCCCTGTTTCGTCTGCTACGAAAAAGAGGCCGGCGGGAAAGTGCACAAGCATTGAGCTGTGACCTAGGAGCACGCCCAGGCTTAACACACCTCAGAGGCCCGGCGGAAATCGATGGCGCTATTGGCAGCCGTGCTTCTGCGGGATTTTGGTAACCAGCTCTGGCAACGTGCACTTCTGCTGCCTCTTTTCCAACCGGGCTGATTGGATGGGGGATAATTGTTTTGTTTGTTTGTATTTTCTTTTTTTTTTGGTCCAGTCCTATGAAAACAGGGGAATGAAGGGGAAGGTGATCAAATCAGACATTAAAAACAAAGTGAGACGTTTAAAGCTGAAGTGGGTTGTTTGACATATGGCCGGAGTCAGCTGCTCCTCGTTGCCCTGTGGGCATTTGATGGCAGCGAATGGAGCACGGCTCACTCCTACTGATGCTGGATTTGGCTGAGAGAGGAACGGGTAAATGATTTATAATTCTCAATTTATGGCCGCTACAAGTAGTACAGAACACAGAGCACAACACGCTAAAATGCCGGCTTCTTTCAACCATTAAAGGGACGTTATGACAGTATTCCCTTTCTTGTGGAGATATAGACGAGTGGACTGAAGCGTGAGCTGTGTTTCTATGGTAAAAAAAAAATGGAGCTGCTGCGAGCAACAACAGAGAAGATACTTTGAAATAGCTGTTGTGTGCTCACATCTGACTAAAAATAATTTTTCAGAAGTTTGTTGCACCCTCCCCTTTTTTAATTTTGCAGCGCACAGCCGTAACCACGACTCACAATGAGTCATCTAGGAATCATGAGTCTTTTTTTATTGCACAGACCGTGTGTTGCTTACTTAATTGTGTAATCATTCTCTGTAAGTGTGCGTCATATAAAGAGGCTTTTGCAGTGTTCTTTTAAACCCCAGCCCATAATTTCAATGTGCCATCTTCTTATGGGTACCCAACCGCTTGGTTTATGTTTTATCCATGAGGATGAATTTTACATGAGCTTTGAAGCTGGAATGGTTTGTTTTACATAGGCAGTATTTGTTAACAGTGAATTAGAATAGGCTTCAGTCATGATATGCAAGGGAGCACGGCGCACGTCGTGCGGGTAGATGTGAAGCTTTCAATAAAGCAGAGGCTATTTGCCAAAGCCATTAAAACAAGTTTTAAAAGGGTATGAAAGCACTTCCTCATATTATCATCACTGTCATCCTTTTCTTCCTACCTTACATATAAATTCAAATGTGACAACAACGGAAAAAACCCAAAAACAAACACTGGCTCTATGAGGTGTCTCAGCATTGTACATTTTGTGATAAGGCATGAGTGGTTGCCTCTGCAGTTCGACTGGTGTCTCGTTGGGTGTTGGAAGGGAGGATTTTGCGTTACCTTGGTCAGCTTTCAGTGCTCCAGCTTGCATCCCGGTATTAGATTAGGAGAGGCAAAGCACGCCCGTCCACGTCTTCTGCGGGTGCTGAGACCTAGCTGGGGTCAGCTGATTTAATCTGCCTGCCATGCTACTGCAGAGTGCTGATCAATAAAGCTCCTACACTAATTCCAACATCAGGAAGGAACGAATCTAGGTGTGGGTAAAAAAAAAAAAA